CCAACCGGATAGCTTTGTGTCTAATCTGAACCGGAATTACGAGCAGTCTCCTGTGGAGGCTGGTGCTACTCCCATTGACATCTGTGAAAAACATCCAGGGACCCAAGTAGGAGGGCCCCCAACTTTGCCCTCATCTTTTAGAGTGGAGGAACACACTCGAACACTTTGGAGGAGAAGCCTCTGTCTGCCACCCAAGCAACTGGAAACTGGAGGTGGTAAGGCTTCAGAGCTCCACTAGTAAAGTCTGGAGGTAATATGCAATGGGGAGTCCTGAGGAACAGTGCTCGGGAAACTGTACAAAAAAAGAACCAAGTTCCCTACATTTTTAAAAGCAGACCAATCTTGATTTATTCAACCTGAAGATGGGCAGGATTCCCTTTAGCTTTACTCATGAATGTCCATGTGTGGCAGTCAAGAAGAATAAGGCAATACCATCCGGTAAACACCTAGATGGTCTTATGGAACACCCCATTTCAACAGAGCCTGTTGCAACTTGTAGTAGTTATAGTGAAGGTGTTTGCTAGTGCAGAATTTAAAAGAGAAAGCATACCTACCTGAGCAACACTTACCACAGTGTGGGATCCAGTGAAAAATAATGTGGCCCTGGAAATAAAAGAGTATATCATTGAGGAAAATATTCATCTCTGGTTAGAGGCTAACAGATGTGATCAAAATAGCTACAGGGGGTAGTCGAAAACCCTCAGAAGAGGAAACTGCCAGATTATGCAAGCAATGAGATAGGAAAAGATTAGGAGTAGCCCACACACCAGACCGCACAATGTCTTCCAAAAGGCAATCCAACCGGGGCCTAATGATATAGAGAAATGACGAATCTGGCGAGATGTGACACTCAAAAAATTCCTCTCCTGTAACGATAATCCATTATAGGTCATATGAATCAATTTGCAAAACCACCTCATTAGGGTAAAAGGAGATAAGTTATGGAAAATAGAAGGATCCCAAAAAATCAACAATCGATTCCTAGTACCTTGAAATGAGTTAGTATGAGCCAAATAACACTTGAGGGCTCTGACAGGACATAACAAAGATAAGGATTGAAGCGGTCATAAAGGTGAGAAATGGCTGCCAAATGGATTGGTGAGAAGCATCTTTTCCCTGGTTGTCAGAGTATTGGGAAGAAAAGACACATGGGGTAAAGCAGAACAAATGTGGAATGATAAAGAGTCCAATGCATATGGATTGCAAACAACTCCAACCGACGATGTCCACAAGCCAACAACAACAAAAATTACAAAGTAAGAGAAGGGTGAAACAAAGAATATGAAGATAAGGGCTCAAAGGGAGGATGAGACAATGCATGTAAAACAACTATAAGATACCAATTCAGTAAGTGAAAAGGTCATTTGGGCTAAAAAATACAAAAGGATTTGAGTAGACTTGATAGTACTGGAGATTCAAAACATTTCAATATTTGGAGTACCAAAAAATAGTGGATAAGGATGCCTTATATAAAGCCATTGTAGATGAAGCAAACATCTGGGTGGAGAATGTCTGATCAAGGTTGTTTCAACAGAGACCGCCAAAGTGGTAAAGACAAAGTTGGACATTCCTGCAGATATCGAAGAAGCAGAAACCTTATTTGAGCTGGTCCATATGGTGCAACCAAGAGAACTCAACAGGGAGTGGAACAAACCATAGTCAGAGCACCAGGGCAATAGCCAATTTGAGGAAAAGGCATACAAATGTAAACCTGTCCAGTCCTGACTGAATGCAATTAATGCAAACACTTGAGGATGAGGTATTGGAGACCAAACAACTGCAGTTGAAAATTCCAATGAGGTCAAAGGAATCAATCGTTGGAGACCTGAACTGAGAGCAAATCCACCAAAAAACCACGTGATGTAGCATCCATTCGAACAGAAGAGTCCGGTTGGGTTGAGACAAGTGATCTGCAAGTAAATTCATCACTCCTGGAAGATGACAAGGTAAAAAACTGATATGAAGGGAATAAGCCCAGTAGAGAAGATCCTAGGTATGAAAACAAAGGTATTGAGAATGTATGCCACATTGCCAAGAAATCTGAGATACCGCTGTGGAATTGACAGAAAGTATCATGACAATTTTTCCCTTCAAGAGAGACAAACCTTGAAACATTACCCAGAGTACTGCAAGGAGTTAGAGAATGTTGATATGGAGGGTAGACTGTCTTACGTCCAAATACCCTGGAACTCCTGACCTAGAAGATATGCTCGCCATCCCTGAAGAGATGTGTCTGTGAACAGATGGATTTCGGATTGAGATGGTGGAATGGGTACCCCAATAATAGTGTTGTTCTGATCCAACCATCATTCGCAATCTATGATGTTGTTTCTGAGTCATGAGACAGGATGATCCAAAGGATTGGAATGCATGATTCATTGGTTGAGCAGTGACCACTGAAGGGACTCGTATGAATTCGTCTCAAAGGAAGGAAAGGCTCAAGAGGAAGAACCATCCATAAAGTAGAAAAAGGAGACATAAGTAAAAGCCTGATGGCTCTTTCCATGACTTGAAGCTCAATAGGGGTTGGTTGAGCACAACTTAAATGAGTATTGAAAAACACACCAAGATGGATGAGATATTGCATCAGTGACAGAATAGATTTCTCCATTCTGATAAAGAAGCCCACTTTTATGGCTTCTGAAAGGAAAATCTGAGTGTTGTTCTGCTAATTGACTGGATGATGAGAAAAGACAAAAGGTGCTGATGCACAACCAAAAGGTAGAGCCCTGAACTGCAGCACCTGACCCTTGTGCACAAAATCTAACACCCAGAGCCCTAGCACAAAGAGCCATCTTAGGATTGAGAAAAAATTCCATTGTAAAGCACAGAAGATCTAAAAATTGGTTGAGTCAAGACAGAGCAATGATTGGATGCCAACCTCCTGACTTTTTGGGTACAATGAATAAATGGGAATAAAATTTCAGAAGAAAAGGATCGACCTTCTTTGCTGCCCTTGTGACTAACAACTCTCTTATGGCCTGGGAACAAAGCTCCACTAGATGTAGATCTGTTGGAGGTGAAAAGGTAAAAGGTTGTGCAGATAAAATTGTAGGTGATGTAAACTGAATGACCAAACATGAAGCCAGAACCTGAAGTACTCATGGATCCCTGGTGAAAGAACTCCAGATGTCCAGAAAGTGAGATAATGGTGCTCCTATGCCCACAGGATAGTCACCAATGCCATTGTTGTCTGTCTGCTCGAGCCAAAGATCCTCGAGAATATGGACGGACTCCATTATGGGAGCCAAAAAAGGGGATCAGGAATCACTGTGGGCCAACACTCCCAATTAGCACCAAAAGGGCGAGAAGCCAACAACAATAAAGAAGGATGTAAACGGGCTGTAAAAATTCGTGATTCTAATGTCTCAGAAACTCAGGCAAACAACATGGGATGGAAACAAAAGGAGCTTCCAGTAGCTCTCTGAGGACAGAAGATGGTAACTGAATACCTTACAACAAAGCGTCTCGACCAAAAAAATTCTAACAACAAACCAAGGAACTGAAGAAGTCAATCTGACTGAGGAGGATGTCAGCAAAATCACCAACTCCTCATCAAATTGCTGAAGGGAACGTAGATAGGCTTCAGACAAAAGTTAGATAAATACATCAGAAAAGTCATGAGAGTAAGAAGAATCTGTAAAAACTGTGAACTGTTTGAAGTGATCACTCCAAGCTAAACCCCCAAAGGTCCAAAAGAAGGTCCAGCCATTGAGAACCTAAATAACCTCTTCTTGGCAGTGATAAGCCAAGGTATGTTTTTCTAAACTTGGGGACAAGGCATAGCTACCCCATCAAGAAAATGAGCAGCAAATCTTCTAGTATAATCATCAATATCAGAAGAAGGAGAAAAATTAAGTAAACAGTTCCTGTCCTTTCTGCCAACAAAGAAGGAGAAGAGTCAAATGCAATGGGAGAGACTCTCAAAACCAAATGAATAAAAGGGGCTGGAGGTGGTTGATCAAAATGATCCTCTGTTGAGGCCAGCCTAAAAGAAGGAGCCAGAAAAAACAAATCTAAATTTTCCCCTAACTGGTCCTGGGTCATTTGCAAAAGACACTTCTGTACTCTCCAGAGAGACACCCTCGGTCCACATATTTCTCCACGTTGCAATGGATCATATCACGAACAGCTTCGACTGAGAGGTCTGGTATACATCAGTAGAAGAAACATTAACTTTTCAATATAATTTATAAATAAAACAAAGATATAACTGTAGTAATACCAACCATGTTCAAAGTCCTGTATATAGAAACCCGTGCTGAATGCTTTGTCAAGAAAGAGTGATTACATTATCTGAATGAGGTGCTTATATGCAGTACCTAGATAGAGGGCACATTGAAGTTTGTGGAGAATTTTGCAAATTCGAATTTTCCAAGGGCATTTGAGTGGGGTATAAAAGACTGGAGCAAGTGCTTTCAATGCTTAGATGAGCAAAGAGTGGAATCCCTAGAGATCAAAAATAGCAATAGTGTCAGCAGAGGTAAGTATGTTTAGAAAATATCAGTTTTGCTTACAAACTTTATATTTTATGCTTGGAACATCACTATAACATTAACATATGGAAATGTATAACATAGACTACGTTTCTAAAAGTCAATATCATAAGAGAATAAATAAAAATGTGTATTATTTAATTATTTTCAATATAATCAATATAGTGCATACTAGTATCATATAGCAAAAAGCACAAAGATAGATAGGATACAGAGATACATATTAAGTAATATTAATTAGAAATGTATTCTTCATTAACAGCAAAATAACACGATAAAACAGGTCAATTCCAGTGCATTTACGTCCATTCCAGTATTTTTATTGTTATTCAAAATCTAGTGACTAAACAATATAAAAAATTAGTGGCTGGCAATTAGAAATCATCTGGAATTTTGTCCAAGAATCATAACTAATTCAAAGTAACAACCAGGATTTATACATATACACAATATTAAAAGTATTTGTCTAAACTTTAATAAATACATTAAAATATGAAAACATACGCAAAACAAGAACCAACTGCCACTGCAACTGCACTTCCTCCAGAACTACCTCCAGCAATAAACCAATCTTTGTCCGTAAATGTTGAAAACTGTTCTTTCTCCATTATTGATGATGCTTGATGTCTGTGTTTATTACGATGCCAAAGCTTATACCTTAATCCTGATCTCCAAGGACTCTTGGTTGGTCCATATATAGAATCAACAGTTCCTGACCTACAGTAAGTAATATAATTACAATGAAGAGAATAAACATTTTTAAGATTCATACAACACTTAAATTAAACACGTACAAAGAAATCTCTGACTTAGATTTTCAACTACTTAGAGCATATAAAGATCAAATTAAATCAGCCCATTAAATCTGAATAATACAGAAAGAATCATTTCTTCCATGTTTGAGATAATACAACAAAATACAAAGAATATATTAAAAGGTAGAACTGCTTTCAGTTGATCCAATCTTGTAACATTTTAAACAACTGTTTACAAGGCATCAGTGTATTGAGAGTTAATTGCACTTGGGACTACTACTCCCATCATTAACAGAGTTTGATCTAGGATGGATGACAAGATCAATCTTAAACCATACATTTTCTACAGACCCTCCCATTGTATGGTATGTCACAAACATTCATTGAAGTTGCATCATGGGACTTGCCAGATTTTGGATTGAACAATATTTTTTTGCAACTCTAGTTATTTGGCCATTTTTCTCAAGAAAACAGTTCTTGATTTTAAGGTGTATCTGGACACTTATGAACATTTGGTTTGAGAAGCTTCATCAACTTCAAAATCCTTGTTTATTATCATGTTAACAGTATCAGGAGATTTACTCAGCTTCATTATAGCAGTTTCTTATGTGGAGGTTCTCTTTTGAAGATGCCATGCAAGTTTTGTAACTTTTAGGTCTACATTATATCACTAGACAAAAATCCTTCATTAAAAATGGCTGTGAAATACATATTCTCCAGCCATATGTATATGTGTGGTAGCATTGCACTGCTGAATGATTGTAAATTCACCATGAACCAAATATAAAAGTGCCTAACATGTTGTTCAATGTATCACAGCTCATAATTGTGGTAGCATGCCATTCAATTGGCACATATACATCATTTTTACAAAGTATGATTAACCTTTTATAATACACCTAATAGTGGTGTACAAGGTAAATTCTAAAAGCTCTATGACATGTTATTGTTTTATTAAGGTGAAATTTTATTAAGGTGACCCAAAGTTACGTGAAGTATTTGTTGAAGAAATCTTAATATTAGAAAACATTGTAAGCAGCCTCTTCACACAGTGGAAGTAATGATATATCTGTTAGATAACACTGTAAGCAGCCTAATCACACAGTGAAAGTAGTGATATGTCTGTTAGAAAACATTGTAAGCAGCCTCTTCACACAGTGAAAGTAATGATATATCTGTTAGATAACACTGTAAGCAGCCTATTCACACAGTGAAATAGTGATATGTCCTTAAATACATATAATAAAGTAATGTATACAAATTTTGTAACATAAATTATTACAAGTTATCTAAGCAATTGATATTGCTAGTGAAAATTTTGTAAATGTTGGTGAGTAATCTTTGATGTTAACAACATATTAAAATGTCTATAGGTTTTCCTTGAATGACTCGTCTGCCTTGATCATACTGATCACCAAGATCATAATGTAGGATGATGCAAACACTGAATTTTGAAGTATTTTCCACACAGTAGAAGTTTCTAATATACAATATTTTTTGTGGTATTATATATCAAACATCCTGATTTTCTTCAATATTTCAAATTACGTTTTTCTTATAAAAGCATGAACATATTTTTTTACAGATTCACAACTCAACAAAAATAAAGTTGAGTTGCATCTGATGAATAAACATTCTGTTCAGAAAAATTTTACTTTCCTTTAAGTCATTGATAGTTGTGGTACCAGATAGCTCTATTACCAGTGCTTTAAGGCTATATCTCAAGGATAGAAAAAAGAAAGCAAAGTTTGTAAAGCACGATGCCAAAGAATGTACAAGATTGGAAAGAATGTCTAAAAATTGTAACTCTGGATTGGAATTTTGAGATCATCTGCATTTTCTACAATATTTTACACTCATCAGACAGATGTGCAATATTCTTCTCAAAGATATAAAATAACATACATAAAGCTGAATCAATAAATTCACATTTAGTAACAAAAAATAAGTTATTGTTTATTGAATCTGAAAATTGTTGCATGAAAAAATAAATGGCATTGAATTCAACCATACCCAAAATACAAAAGCATGGAATTGATGATTATCTACATACAGTATGAGCCATTATAACTTTACTAGGGTTACTCATTTTTATTTACATGATCATGATGGGAACATGCATGTAAGTTGATATTCTTAAATGTTGCCTCAAATGACATGCAGTGGAGACTTCAAGGTAGTAATATAAAATGAGCACCACATGGCTTTAGATGATCAATGACTGTATTATTGACTTCCCTCAGTTTACTGAGGTTTGTCTACATGGCAACTTAAGTATGCTAATTCATACTTTCTAGAACCTTCTTCTGATAGCCAAAACACTTGACTAATTTATCAACATGAGTTTTAAAGAGAAATGACCCAGTTGTACTACCAGTATACACTCTAGATATCATATTAAATTAATATTTATAGTGCATCTTCAGTTTCTACAAGTATAAGGGTTAGTCCCCATGGGAGTTGGGGTATTATCTACAAAACACCAAGTCATTACTGTTTAACTTCAGCAGCTACATCTTTTTGTTTAACCTGGTGTTTCATACTGGAATGCTTATGAAAAGACAAGTGATGCAACATAGTCTAAATGACATTAACAATTTTATCAATTTGATAAATGATTATATTTTTCTTAAAGGTTAATATAGGTCTTTTACAATGTCAGGAATGTATAGCTAGTGACATGACGAAACCCTATGCAGTAATATATTTTATTAATGTTTTCAGGCACATCTCATACTTGGAACCATAATGATTTTTAGTGAAAATTATAACTTGTAAAATGAGAATTTCAGCAATAACAGCTTTTATTTTGTTTCTTCCTGGATAGAAGAAGAACTTGCTTGATCATCACAACTACCTTTCTAAGTTTTATAATTAGGTACTAGTCTCTTAGTTTCAAAGCTTATTACAGTTTGCTTACTTTTCTCACAGGTGTACAAGGTAATTCTAGAAGCATGTCAATTTTAAAAGAAAATATATTTCATTCTTATATCTGGAATAGGTAAATAATAATTACAACAGGTCTGAGCTACTGCTAGTAATTGAAATTAATAACTGGATCCTTCTGTTATTGTGTTTTCAAATTAGTATAAAGTTCTGAATAGTTTATGCTTAAGTTACCCCATAGCAAATTCATCCATGTTAGTTTTCCCCATCATTATGGCACCTTCATTCAACAGCTTCTGCACCACTGTAGCATTGTATGGAGGGTAATAATTGGCCAACATCTGTGAGCCACAGCTGGTTCTGGTTCCCTTGGTATTGAAATTGTCCTTAAAAGCAACAGGAAGGCCATCTAACAAACCTCTGGTGGACCCTTTAAATAAACAACATTTTAGATGCCTACGAAATGTTTCAGGAAAAATGTGCTACTCAATTTTTGACATTCATGAAGGAGAATACCTTTTCCTAGTTTACAATATTTACATTATTTCTTTAGCTTTTTTTATTTTTTTTCACATATATAATAAAGAATCTTTAAAACATAAGAACTCCATTTTATAAATATATTCAACCTATTCAGCAAACTATTCCAATGACCGAAAAACTTGTTTGTGTGTATTAGTAAATTTATCATTACTCAAACAATACATACAAGTACAAGAACTTCATAGTTATTGAAAACAAATTATAATTATGAAATAGAAATTGTGCATGTCCCAAATTACAGTTAGAAAAACATCACCTATATTAGTGAAGGCATGGGATATGGGTGCAAGTTGCATTTTCACTACTCAATACTTTCAACTGTTCACTGATGTATTTTATGCTATTTTTGTGGCTACGTAATTGCTTCAACAGACAAATATAAGTGATAAATATAAATAATTCATGAAAATAAATCAAGGTAAACCTAACTGGATATATAAAATGGAATTTTCTGATCATTATTTTTTCAAAAATTCAGTTTTATTTCCCTCTTATTTTTTAATAAACAAATACATTACTAACTATTAATCTGGTCAGTTGGACAAATAGCTTCTGACTATTCATCCAGCTAGCTGGACAAACAGCCATGGCCAAATAAGTAATGCCTATGATCTTGAATGATAAAATGGAAAAAATCTAGAATAGTTATATGTGTTATAAAATTCCCACTTTGCACCCTCATATTACACGAGAAGGGGAGAGCTCAAAACTGGTACACCTGATACCATTGAATAAAACAAAGAATATGTTTGGAGAAAGGAGCAATTGGAATATGTAGAAATGTGTCTGTGGTGTTAACCTTGATCATCTATAGTCCGGAGAGAAGGACCAACAGAGAAGAAGAAACCTCTCCATGGTTAATGACAGGACCCCAGTCTCCACTCTTTTTGTGGGCAATAGAAAGATGAGAATAAAACCCTGGAGAGGAGCAAACAACCCTGTTGATGGCTCTTGTATCCAAAAGATTCAATACCATGTCTTCATAACACAGAAGATTCTGAGGATCGGAAGGGGAAGGAAAAGGTACAGGAAACCAAGAAAAGTTGATATTGTGAAAGGGCAGTGCTAATCTAATGAAATTGATTAAGATTACAATTAAAGAAATATGTCTATTAAAGACAGTGCTGAGGATCAGAATGAAGTTAATTTAAGTGCAACTGCTCATGGGGATCTGGAGCACAAGAAAGATGTGTCACTGTCCAAATGGTGAAGGACTATTGCTGCATGATGATTATGTCATGCACTAGTGCAATTCATGTCAAAATACATCTTAGGTTGGAGATAATTCAAGGCTAGTGGCATGGATAAAACCTCAAAGGCAGATGAGCAAGGAATAACCACTATTTGCAGAGTTAAGTGAATCATTTCAAAAATAACTACTTTCCCTTTAGATTATGTGAAAAATATCCATATACCATTTCCTAAAGATATGAAGGCCTATCTTAATCTTCAAAGTTTCTTAACTTCTTAATCAGAACTAGTAACAGATGAACAAGGATACATTGGCACTGTTATTTAATGATAGTGACTTTAAAAAATCGTATGTGACATATAATGAGTTCCATGGTTTAGGTTACACTATATTTATTCTAAGATCAACACCATCAAAATCCATGAAAAACAAAGCATTAACTCAACTTCCAGAGGATATTCATAAATACACATAATTTTATGCGTATGGCTTTGAATGAAACAATAACATATCAGAGAAATATAAAATAATAAGTTAACATGTTTTTTTTTACCATTTTTTATCCTTACATCACTTTGAATAGCCAAATCCTCAGCTTCTTTCTCTGCTACTGTGATGAAAGCATTTAATGATTTAGTAGCCTTAATTTGATGAATACAAAAGGAAGTAAGCTCAGAAGAAGAAAGCACACCATTCTGAAGACTGGAAGCAATCTAAAAATTATAGTAATTTATGATGTAGTTTACATTCATAATCTAATCTTGCAGGAGAATTTAAAAATGATAAACTTTTATTAAAAATACATTAAAATATCTAAATCTGTACAGTCAATTCTAAATAAAATATACTAAATTAAATCAACAAAATTCATAATTTTTTATAGAAAAGAGAAACTGCATTTGCAGAAACATTTATGTCTTTGTAAACATTTTTATACCAAAAAACATTTGTTACCAGATAAGTTTATTCCTCGTATAAAATCATCTAAAAGGAAAAGCTTAAAATGCTACATGAAAAAAAGTTGCTGAACAAATGGGTATGTTCATCAAAAAAATTTAATATACTATCTAAATAAAAAACTTCTTATCCATATTTCTTCACAAAATCTTTAAACGATTTAATCAGCCAATCAGAGCACTTCATCAAATTTCCTGTTCAGAAAATAAAACTTCAAGAAAGGAGTAATTAATTGTTCACGACAAGGTTTAGTTTAAGATTTATATAGAGCATACATGTATTTATCATCTTTGATATTCAATGTTAAATTTTTAATATTACTATAATCAAGTTCCATGGGGATTTCCCACAACTATCCTATTAAAACCTCTATAGTTCTAACACCTGAATAATATCACTTATGATGTTTATACTTTTCTGTAAAATATGTGCTTAAGTTTTTAGGCTTAACTAAGATAGAAGTACTGTAGATATGACTTCAACTAAATCTATTTTTCATTATATAGGTAAGGAAACCATCCTGCTACTTTTAGATATATTGCCTGAGTTTGAGATGCTATTTCTGCACATATAAATTTAAAAGAAATTGTGATATTAAAAAAGTGTTACATACTACAAAAATGACCTTTGTTATATCTATGCATCCCAGTGTATTATAAATTTAGAGATTTAAAAACAATATTTATGGCTGTTATTGTTCCCCTTAAAAAAAGTCCAAGATCAAATCACATCTTAATTATTTTTTTAATGAAATAATGCTTGAGATCTTAAAGATATAATTGAAAAAAAATTAAATTGTATATCATAAAACTGTTCAAGGTCCAGGTATATTACTGTCCAAGAAACTATTTGAATTATAATTAATAAAAGTCCCAAAATAGACTGTTTGAAGTTTAGGTTACAAAATTATGTAAGCATAAAAAGTTACAAGTTTTAAAAACAATAAAATTTTCAACCAAACAGGACAACAAAAACAAACACACTGTTTAAAAACAACAATAATTCACACAAAACAAGCCTCAGAAACTGTAACTTTTAAAATTGCAAATTATTATATTAAGAACACTCACTGGAAAAATATTTGTAAGTTATAAAAGTAAACTGATAAAACACAATTTATTATAAGCCTGTTATATGGTAGCATAATTAATTATATTATAGTCATACATTTCAATGACTTATCATTTGGAATGACATCACTAATGAATGGTTTCAAGGCAGTCTTTTATAGTTTTATGAGCAATTCTCTCACATTGTTTATTTTACTGAGAAAAGGTGCAAGTTCACAGTGCAAAAATATGTTTCTACGTGTAGGTTTTTAACTCAGTTCTATCTGCCTGTTGTGATAAATCTGAAATCATAATGCACAACAGGAATGTAGTTACAATCACCATGGAAGAAAGCCATGCTGGCAATATAACAACGAAGAGCATGTATGGGACATATTACTCTATCCAGATCAGACCAAGAATATAGGTGGGAAATGGAAAGAAGGGTAATTGGAAAGAAGGAGGAGTTATCCTCATGAGCTGTTGAGATCTTTTGAAAGGAAAGAACAATCCAGATAGATGGAGGAGAAGATATGTGGTATGATAAAGGGTACGTGAAATGTTGATGACAAATCCAACTCATGACGTCCACAGGCGAAGAGGAAAAAGAAAGAAGTCTTAAGGAATAAGTCAAAAATCGAACATGAGGAATGGTGGTAAAGTAAGACAGTGAAGAACCACATTGACATCTCAATCCAGAAGGGCTACACACCGAGGAGGACAATGAATCTAGAAATGCAACAACAGAGAGAGGGTAGGAGAGGTAAAATCTTTATGGTACTGGGAAAAGTGTGGGATAAGGCAGCCCAATAACCTGCTAGCGAGGAAATTGAAGGACCCATGATCAAACAGCCAAGTAAGGAAATCTGTAAGAAGAGGAACAGTGGGTGAAGCAGGTGAAAATCCCTGAAACAAAGACCAAAGGTGGAAAACATTCTATATATGTTGATAAACATCCATAGAGGAAGGGCAAATGGAATGAGCTAAAATTGAAGTGACTCACAGGAATAATCTAAATCTCCTCACCAAGGACGGAATAAAAACCAGTTGTGAAAACGGAGGATATGAAGAGTTGGATGAAATGCCAGTAACCAAGGTTTATGTAGAAGGGATGAAGCAAGAGGAAGAGGTAAAGGTGGGGCATATTGGAGCTGGAGCGGCCACAGAAACCAAGGTTGTGCCGGCCAGTAAGGAGCAATCAGAAAGACCTGACACAGAGTAGCATGGATGATCAAAAATCACCCTAGGAAGAAGATGGATGGGAGGATACATATAAAGGTATTTCTTGGTCCAATCCTAACTGAATGCATAAACAGCCAGTGCAAGTGTATGAGGAACTCTAGACCAAAACAGAGGTAATTTGGTATTGAGAGGTGTGGCAAATGCATCCAGGTGAGGAGTACCCCACCAAAGGCACAGCTACTAGAAAATCAGAGGATCAAAAGATCACTCTGTCAGATTAACTTTGTCAGGATGGGAAAGACAATATGCAACAAGATTGAATGCACCCAGAACATGGCACACTAGGAGATGAATACTTAGTGCATGAGCCTAAAAACAGAGATCCAAGGTTCAACCACAAAGGGAATGAGAACGGGTGTCACCTTGGTAAGCGATATAAGCCACCACCATAGAATTGTCAGAATGAATCATAACCAGACAATTCTTGGCAGGATGAAGAAAATGATCCAAACGACAACGTAAGGCCAGATGCTCCAGGATGTTGATACAGTAAGATTGCTCAACTGAAGACCACAGATCTGAAGCTTCCTACTGATTGACCCATGTCCCCAGCCCTGGAGAGAAGCATCTGTGAAGATGTGTAAATCTGAACAAGGAGGAGGAAGCAGAACACACTGACAAGTGAGCCCAGTCCATCCACCAATACAGATCATCGACAAGGGAAGGAGAAATGGAAATAGGAGCCTCTAATGGATCTCATGTACAGTTTCACCAGTCATATAGGGCTAAACAGACCTCATATGCATCCAACCAAAGGGGATGAGGGCTTTCATAGAAGACCACATCCCCAAATGTGATAGAACCTTGCAAGCAGTAAGGGTGTGAAGAACTGAATAACATTGAATGGAGTCGAATAGGAGAAGTATGGGCCTGACTGAGTTGATGGTTGAAAAACTCACCCAAGAGAACAAGATATTGTGTAGGTATAAGGAATAACTTCCCCAACTTGATTAACCAACCCACAAGAGCTGCCTCCACAAGTAGCAGATGAGTGTGACAGGAGGACCCCTGTTTGGAATGAGCTAAAAGAAGTCAGTCATCAATGTATTGGTGTAAGTGCAACCCCTGAGCATGCATATGTCAGGCAAAAGCCTTAACCACTCGACAAAAGACATACAGGGCTGAAGCAAGTCCAATGAGCAGGACACAAAATTGATAAACTACCCCATGATGAACAAACCGAATATAGCACCTCAAAAGATGAGATATTGGTCATCAATAAACCTACAGAAAAAGCCCACCTAACAGTGAGAAAAGACTTCCTGCTCAATCAGGGCAGAATCAAAAAAGTGACTGAGTTGGGGCAAATTGATCACAGACCACCAGTGCCCAGTTTTTTTTAGTACTACAAACAGCCTGAAATAACAACCTGGAGAAGATGGGTTACAGGTTTGATGGCTTTCTGGGAGAGAAGATTTTGTATCACCTCTGGTGGTAAGTTTCAGAGGCAATGGAAACGATATTGGTACCAGAGACAACAGAGGAGGGGAAAGAAAGTGGATGACAAGTCCCTCGGATAATACCCAAATAATCCACTGATCTGTGGTGATAATTTGCCATAATGGAACCAAATCGGTCAATCAAGCCTCCAGTGGATAGTCAGTTACTGGAACTCTTGTCGACATGTCTATCGGCATGAAATAATATGACTAAAGAAGGATTACCTGGAGGTAGGAACTGGTAAGGAGCAGGACCGAAAACAGGAATAAGGGCTTGTCTAGGCTCAGAATGAGACAAACGATCAACCAAAGATGAAAGGGTCGATTGCTGTTTCACCAATTTGTGAGGATTTACTATATATATATATATATATATATATATATATTTATTTTAATATCGATGTTTGTTTAAATTTTATATTTAGAAATGTACATAACTTATACTGTTATATCTGTATTGCAAAATTCTTGCCTATTCTTTAAAGTTGTAGAAGATTGTCAAGTGTAAGAATCAACAATATACACGTGTATGTAAACGCTAGTGTAGCATTTGTATTGTTGCGTAACCTGAAATTTCAAGAAACTCTCCACACGCCTATATATTATAACCAACGCAACGTGCTTAAAAACAGTATATATTACTGGTTTGCTATAGTTGGTATACTATAAACTTCGGAAGCTACAATTGTGATTAATGATTATTAATCAGAAAACTTCAGATATTTGACCAGGAATATTTATAAATTTGAAACATTACAAACCATTTAACTTAAGTGGATTCAAATCAGACATTAATACTTTTATGAAAACAGTACCTAACTTCATTTGTGGAAAAAATCACTGTGTGATCAATGAAGACCATAGAGCTAGCTAGCTCCCTATTAAGTGAATTGTACCAACATCAACACGAAATTAACTCACTCATCGTGAACCCTCGATAAGACATCAAGGAAGTTCCAGACCAGAAAGATAACTCAATATTGTTTGTAAGTCTGTTTGTATTTGTAATAACCATTGTTGTAAATTGTATTACAGTTTGCATATTGAATTTAAAAAAATTGTATGTATCAATCTTGTTGGCAAATATCATAAATTGGATATATATCAGCATTTATTTAACTACTAAATGTAAATTATAATTTAACTCAGTTTTAGGCTATTTGAAATTGTAATACATAACAGATTCCACAAAGGATTCCAAAATCTCACGAATATTTCCGAAAACAAACTGCCGGAGAAAGGGAGTCACACGTAAGTCCCAGAGAAGAGTAGGTGGTAAACAAACTTGGGACAATATAGTATTCCTCCCCAGAAGATTGCAACAACAGAATGTGAGCCAAAGACAAATGTACCAACAGGAAGGTAATCAGTGAGAGGCTATCCCCTGATAAACCCTCAGAATCATAGTGGATCACATTGGAAGGGAAGTGGATAGTAGACAAGTACCATAAGAGAGTTGATAGGGTAATATGATGGGGGGAACTGGGCATGGGATAAATGAACAGGATGATCAGGGTCAACCTCACACACACACAGGTAAAAGTGTGTCCAACTGTTGACAATCAAGAAATGGAAATTCAGCCTGATGGTACGCTAAAGCAAACTGATCTGAAGCCTGTGTAGGTCAATGCATGTTAGCATCCTCAACCAACTGAAAGACAAAACGCTCTGCATGAACCCTAATATCCGGGGAAGGGGGGAAGCGCAAAGTACTGAGAGGAGGGGGTATCATGTAGAAAAGAAGGAAGAGGATTATAAAAAAATGGGGAAATAAATAAAATAGAACACACCTGAAAAATCATGTCTAAAAAAGTCATATTAGGCCTAGCTGATTCCACAGTAGGGGCATAGGAAGACATGGCAAAATCTAATGGAGGAAATAGGCTACAAGTTCCTCGTTGGCCCAAATAGGTTCAGCATGTTCAGGAGGAACACGGGCAACATATAACAATCAATCTCATGGCAAATGAGAGCCAATAATTCCATAGTTGAGTTTCTTCCCACCTGCAGCATGTGTAAACGTGCTGGTTGATGGATTACCTTCGAAGTGGTAACCTGGACTTTAAAATTCATTGTTAACAATGAATGATCAAAGACAACAATGTTAGAGTAAAAAAATTAAACTGGGAAAAAATAAGCTTTCTTTAAGTTTGCAAACTGTTTTTAAATTGAAAAGAATGATTCCACTGCAGAATGAATGGGAAAAAAATGCACTAAGTTTAAAGTAAAAAAAAACACGACTGAAGAGCATAATAAGAAATGTCTTGACACGAACACTCTCAAATGAGAAGTGATAGTTCAGTAGAATCAAATACAGGGAGTTACATGCGTCAGGAGGGTGTGTTGCACTCCTAATGGTGAAGGATTGTAGAATGATGATTTACATCTTGAGACAATGTAAATGATACAGGTACCAGCGACAATTGAGAAAGGGATAGGAAGTGGATGACAAGTCCCTCGGATAATACTCAAGTAAATGAACAGGAAGATGATCAAGACTATATACTACTTAAAAAGTAATTTCCTGATGTGAAAAAAAAAATCTTAGTATCTTTTCTGTTTTATATTTGAGCGAGTGTAAAATAAAAATGGGGACTGACCTTGTGGCTAGTACATGATCGATACACAACATTATGTGACTGTTGTGAGATACAAATAAATTGTTGAGGTTGATTAGCTAAATTCATCATTCACTTCAGTCATAAGTTTAAAGACTTTTGCTATCATTCTAAACATTTTGAACTAAGCCACTTTCTAAACCAAATGAAGTATTACAACTAAGGTCAACTAAAGTGACAGCATTTGAAAGTTTTTGTTCGTAAAGAGGAAACTTCTAAACCAGTCACCAAAAGATTATTTTTTAAATTGCCTTATTTATTAAAAAAAGATCCTAATTGTATCTTTATTGCATATGTAATGATCAACTTTCCTACCTTACTAAAAGAAAAAGAAATGACAACTTTAAATGCATTATGATAAAGAAGACCCACATCGTGCTGGTGGAACTATTTAAAATTTATCACTTCCTGACTCGACACACACTTTCATTGAATGTGTTTCAAATCTCAGCACTTACATTGTATCACTTCTGACATTTGTCTAAAATCACAAAATGTTAGCTTTTACTGTCAATAAAGATGTATACAATCTCCCTGTTAGTTGTAAGTGCAACAGGCAGTTGGTTACAACAACTGTCCACCTTTGTGGTTCTTGTTTTTCAACCATTTGCTTCCTACTCAAAAAAACTCAAAATATCTACTTTTTCTCACTTGGAAGCAATCCAACCAATCAGCATTCACGTTTGTCAAGCCAAAACTAACTTTAAGGTAACTTCTTGGAACAATCCATAGTTTATTCTATGGTGAATAATGTTTCATGTTGAAAGAAAAAGGAAAAAATACAGGTTCATAATTGTAAACATACTTATAAATCAAAAGACAGTTGCTGTAAATAAAGTGGTCTGGGTTATTTTCAATTTCTTGGCAATCAGTTTTTCGTGGTCAGGAAAATCGACAAATTCTACCAATTCTGTTTCAGTTATTCCCATTATATCAAAATCCTCCATTCCTACCAGTGCTCTAAAGCCATCTAGTATTTATCTTATACTTCTAGCATTACAATAGTATCAATTAAGCCTACAGTTATAACTATTTTCTACTCATTTCCTATGCTAAACTTTTCTCTGCCTCTTATTCTTTTTGCATCTAGATTTTCCTGGCCCTCACCACTGTCCAGTCCTAGTTTAAAACTTCCCTTACAGCTGAGTTAATAGCCTTAGCAAACAAGCAAGCCGTTATCCTATTTAAATGCAAACTATCCATTCCAAAAAAGCTCCTTTCTTCCATTGCACTGATCCCACAAGTCCAACCAGCCAATCTGCTGATCTTCAGATACTAATCTAAGCCTAATATAAATAATAAATTACAAACAAGTGTTAAACTTTGTAACAAACCATTGGTAAAACTTCTATATCTAAATAAGTATCGTATCACGGCATCAATATCTAGATATGTACTGTATCGACTACTAGGAATATGATGAGATACGCACCCCTACTAATACTAGGCTGATTACATTTAAGTAGTGTAGGAAGAAATTGCAAAGTGGGGGTCCTTGGCTATTAATATAATAATATAATTTACAGTTGCTATACAACATTATAAGTCAAATATGTAAAAGCGGGAGTGCTAAAACACCCCCGGTTCCGCTGCCTGTGTATTACATTAATACTGTAATAGTACTAATACTATTACTGTGAAGTAAATAGTACATAGCTCTAATATTTTGATCAAATTCATCAGTAATATCTATCAGTATTACTCTGTAAATGTTCTCGTGCATTGTTTACATTCATATGATAACTAAGACAATGAAGCTTTGTAATTTAATTAAATTACACTAGCATAGTTGTACAAACTGCTATAGCCACATCAGGAGGACCACATGAACCATTGTTATGCGACGAAAATGAAATAATATAAACAGTTTATTAAACTAACCTCACGAATACTCATACACGATCTGGGAATCGCCATTTTGATATAATGTACTGTTAGAAAACCCGAAGACGAAATGGAGCAAGACGTTTCATTTAAATATTATTCTACTTATTTCCACCAAATTTAAAAGTTGTAGAAAAAGTTAGAGTTTAATGCGCACAATACCAAAAAGAAACAAATGATTTCCAACGCATTTAAAGCATTTCATCTCCGCCCTAAATTTCGCTACAAGTTCGAATAGGTTTTGAGACAACAGCCAAGAGACACAGCCCAAAACTCAGGCACTGGTATATGATACAAATTTATAAAAAGATAGATATAGCTTCAATTCTGGAGTATTGGTGAAATAATTCGTAACCATTTCGTTTTATTGATATTAAGCAATTATTAAAACGTAAAACTGTTTTCTAAAAGCTGAATTTTTTAAATTTATGTCAGGTTTTGTATCGGAACCGATTCTTTACAGTAGGTGTCTGTGATTTGTTGGCGATAAATTTCAACAATAAACCGTCAGCACATAATCCACTTGTTTTAAAATAATATATTCAAAATAAGTCAAACGTGTGTACAAAATATTTCGTTACACTATTGATTATCACAGTGGAATCTAGAGCTTTATATAATTTTCTTTTTCGTCAAAAGTCCACAAAGATATGTTCAGTTATTTCAGAACCCAATTGACAAGACAAATTATTTGTTCTCTATCCTTTTATCACAATAGAATTAGTGATAAGTTCACTTATGTTACCCCGTAAGTTACCACAGTCGAATTCAGAGCTTTAAATAATTGTCTCCTTTTTGTCAAAGTCCACACAGGTGGTTTCAATTAATTTAGAATCCCTTTGACAAGGCAAATTCTTCTTCTTTATGTCTGTTGTTACAATATATACTGTGAAACTTGCTTCAGATGTCGCCCATTATGCTAAACTGACAATCAAAAGACTAACTTCACTTTCACTAACTTAACTTATGCTAAGTTGGTCGCCTGTATATATTCATTGCCCAACTGAGCCCTAGAACTTTTTACAAAGGACATAAAATTATGATGTAATAAAAACAACAAGAAAAATCCAGAAGGTTCGAGCAATATAACATCAATTCACAAAGGAACTACACAATAAATGATTTGTAAACAGTTATCTAATCAAACTTGCCATAACTATTGCTTCTAAAAATGACTTACTTTAATGATTGCACAATATGAGCTAAATAATACTCTCATATTAAACTTAAAATGAAGAGTCGTGTATATCTAACAATAAGTCCCTCATTAAGAAACAAATTTACAAGGTTCGAATCCCCATCCCGCCAAACATGCTCGCCTTTTCAGCCATGAGGCCGTTATAATGTGATGGTCAGTCCCACTATTCGTTGGTAAAAAAGTAGCCCAAGAGTTGGTGGTGGGTGGTGATGACTAGCTGCCTTCCCTCTAGTCTTACACTGCTAAATTAGGAATGGCTAGCACAGATAGCCCTCGTGTAGCTTTGCGCGAAATTCAAAAACAAACAAACAAACAAATTTACAATATTTTTTCCACTATATACAAAGAATGTCTTCAGTTCATACACAAAGTCTTCCCATACAGTCTGCACCAACATTTCCAGTCCCCTTGATGGCTGCAATGCCAAACCTGTAGTGCTTGAGATGCTTATCTCATGATACTTGCACTGTCGGTCTTGCACCTCTAGATGTGTGCAAGTGGTTGATGGTCCATCTGGATGATGAAATCTTTCACATATAGGTAGTTCTGGAACTTTGGGATGGCAAATATGATGGCTTGACACTCTCATTCGATCATAGAGTAGTTATTCTCACTATTCAACAACGTTTTACTTACTGGTAACAGTCTGTCTTCATGTTCTTCTAAGGGTACTGCACCAATTCCAATGTCTGAAGCATCAGCCCAAACAATGAATGGTTTGTTGAAATCTGGCATTCTAAGGATTGGCAAACTTCTCAACATGTTCTTTAATTTCTGGAATGCTATCTGCTGTAGTTATTCCAATGTCAACTTGTTGGGTTGGCCTTTCTCGGTCAGGTGAGTCAATGGCGCAGCAACTTCAGCATAGTTTGTGATGAACTTCCTGTAGTATCCTGCTAACCTCAAAAAGACTCTGACTTGCTGCTTGTTTGTTGGAGATGTTGCATCTTGTATGTGGGTTAGCTTCTCATCTTCTGTGGCTATCTGTCAGTTCCCACCTTGTGTCCAACAAACTCCAGGACAAGATAGTCAAGGTAGCACTTAGATGGTCTGATGGTTAGACCTGCTGCCCTCACTCATCTGAACACCTATCTAAGTTTCTTCAGGTGGTCTTCCTACCTGGCTTGATGTTGATGGTGTCGTGCAACATCTTCCTCATCATGCAGTTGAATGTTGCTGCTAAGTTGATTAATCCAAATGGCATCCTCTTAAACTGGTAACATCTATCTGGTGTCACAAAGGATGTCTTCTCTTTAGATTTTATCTCCACCAAGATCTGCCAATAACCTTTAAAAATCTTTAAAAAAGAACTTAGCTCCATCTAGTTTTGCTATGATAGCCTGTGTGTTGCTCATAGGTTCAAAGTCGAACTTTGTCACGAGATTGAGCTTCCAGAAGTCTATGCAAAAGCAGTTTGAACCATCCCTCTTCTTCAAAATTACCACTAGTGAACAGTAGGCTGAATTCGAAGGCTTGATGAATCCAGCTTTTAACATTGCCTCGACTTCCTGCTTGATCAGGTCTCTCATCACATAAAACATCTGGTAGGCTTTACCTTGACTGGATACCTGGTTGTGGTCACGATCTTGTGTTACATAAGATCTGTCTTACCTGGTATATCTGTGAAGACATCTGCATACTGGCATAGTAAATCTTGTCGCTCTTTTTCTGCTTATCAGTCAGTTCTTCACTGATGTTGAAGTCTTTGCATGTCTCATCTCCACCCAGTGGTCTTAGTTCTAGTAGGTCTTTATCTTCTATGGCAAAGTCACTGTCTTCTGGTTCTGTGTCTATAACAGCTACACCTACCACATCCACCTGTGCCTCAAAAGCTGCACCTGTTAGGCCTTCTTCCCTCACAAAGTACCTATTCAACAAAGTGGCATGGTAGATCTTGGTCTTCCTGTTCACTTTCACTTTATATTCCATTCTGTTGAGAACTTTCTGCACTTCAAAAGGCCTTTTCCATTGCAGGGTGTGTTTTTTGTTACCTGTAGGTAGTAGATCCAAAACTTTCTGTCTGATCTTAAACTGTTAATTTTTGGATTTCTTGCCATAGAAGTGCTTCTATCTGTCTTGAGATGTACACAAGCTCTCTCGAGTGAGTTGACAGGTCTTCTCCAGTCAGTTTCTGAGGTCTAACACATACTGATATGTGTTCCTCACTTCTGACTCTTCTTCTCCCATCTACAGCTTTTTCCATATCTGCATTAGACCTCATACTGTTATTTCATACAGCAACTTGAAAGATGAAAAATTTGTTCTTGCTTGTAGGACTTCCCAGTAGGAAAGTAATACTGCCTGCAGGTACATGTCCCCGTCACATAGTCTCTCTTGGCACATCTTCTTCAGCATGGACTAAGACTCTATTAACTCTCTCGCACAGTCCATTACATCTAGGATTGTACAAGGTGGTAAAGAGCTGCCTAGCACTGATGAGACTGCACACCTCTTGCATCAGTTCTAAAGTAAACTGGGTCCCTCTATCACTCAGGACTTCTTTTAGAAGGCTCAGTCTGCAGAACACTTTCAGAAGGGTTTCTGCTACTCTCTCTGTCTCTATCTTTGGCAGTGCTATGGCTTCTGGATAATGTCATACAATCAACTACTGTCAGCACATACCAGTTGCCCTTGTCAGAAACAGGTGATAGTGGTCCAATCAAGTCCACAACTACTCTGCTGAATGACTCCTCTATGAGAGGCATATCACCCACTGGCACCTTGGCTACCTTCCCTCTAGGTATTGTTTTTTGGCAGATATCACATGATGTGCAGAATCTGATCACATATCCGATGTCCCCCAGCCAATGTGAGTTGCTGATACTTCTGTCTGCTATTTCCTTTTTTCCTAGGTGACCTCCCACAATCGACTTATGAACCAGCTTCATTACTTGAGATTAGTATTCTGTTGGTACTATCATCTGTTTAACTTCCCCAGTATAATTGCCTTGAAAGATCCAATACAAAACTCTCTTACAGTTCTCGATTCTGTTATGTCCCTTTTACCTTTGTCTTGTGCTCGACTTTCTCTTGCGCACTCTTCCAAAATCTCTGCAGTGAAGGGTCTTCTTCTGTTCTTCTTTCAGTTTTTGTAAACCTAGATGTGGGATGTTGCCTTTTGATACTTACAGGCGCTTGATGTCTTGCTTGATCTTCTTTTCTTGAGCTCTAGTGGTGACTGCAGATGCTTCATCCATCTTCTTTCTGATTGGTTACTCCAAAAATTCTACTGCCTGATATATTTCCAATCACAAAATCATAGATGGGTGCCGTCATACACACGGCCTCAATGTCTCCCACATAATATGGAGTGTTCACTTTTATTATTGGCATAGGAAACTTTATCACTGTCCCATCAATTAGCACATAAAGATGTACCTTGCCTGTCATCTGGTCAGCAGCTACAAGACTGGTTCTCACTGCTGCAATAACTTGAGATGACTATTAGTCATGCATTGTTTAACCATGGAAATATAACTTTCTTCTTGTGATGAATCTGATGGGTTGTCTCTATTCTGCTTCTTCTGGGAGCAGCATCTATAATAACAGTCATTCTTTTCTTGTTTCTTAGTAGCACCATCTTTATAGGTAGCTCCAGCTGCTTTATGTTGAGATTTCTGCTGTTGCTTGTTGAGAATAAACTTACACTTTCTCGCAATGTGTCTCATTTTATAATAAATGTAGCATCTCTTCTCTCTTTTGTCTCTTGAGTTCTTGTCACCTTTTCACACTTGGCTATGTCAGTCCATCTTGTAAAGTATCACAATAGATGTACCACAAACTGAAATACAGTTTCTCCTGTGTCAGGTTTGACTTCTCTGAACTTTGATAAAAATCTTCTTTGTTAAG